TAGCTATAAATATAGCACGTAAAAATAGGCCCTTGAAAAACCCCCAAAATCAATCCAGAATCTTTCCACCCGAAACGCCTCCAGCAATGCTTCCGCCTCTTGCGGATTCACCGCTTCCTCTAACATCTCATGCGCCATCTCACCGTATCATCCTCAACGCCAGCCTCCAACAGCAGCCCCTCACAAAATGCCAACCTTGTCAGCGCAACCAAGATGTTTTTGCGTCGCGCCGGGCACAAACACGCAACTTCGCACCGACATTCACCTCGTCGCGGAACATGCGCATGATGCCGTACGCCAGCCGCGTCAAGCCATTGACGAGGGCGACGTGCAGTTCGCGCTCTGGCGGGTTTGAGTAGAGCGCGTCGAGCTCGTCGTGGATGGAGCGGAAGACGCGGGCCAGTGCTGTCGGGTGGCGGGCGAGGAGGCGGCCGGCATGGTTGTTGGAAGCGGAGGGGTGAGGGGAGGAGAAGGCTAGGGTCGTCAGGAAGGACATGGCTTCGATGCGGAGGGTGGAGATTTTCCAAGGGGTGTAGGGCTTTTCGCCTTCGTCGACGTAGAGCTGCTCGCTGAGGAGGTTGGCGACCCGGTCGATTATGTAGTTTTCGTTGGCGGTTTGTTCGGCGGGGGTGGATAGGAGGGGTCCGAAAGAGGTTGGGAGGATGCTGTAGGAGAGGAGGTTTAGGGTTATAATTATGTCGTCGATTGGTTGGTTGGAGTTGAGCATCACAAGAATGAAGTCGTAAAGGATGTTTTTCCAGAATTTGCGCTGGGCATCAGAATCGTATTGGCAGCTGCTGGCTGCTATATAGAGGATGTTGAGGGCTTCTGTGGAGTTCACCTGGTGATGGAGCTCGGACTGGGGGGTCTGCTTGACCTGACCAAGATTTTGGTGCGATACTGGGGAGTTGCGGAATCTGGCAACACCGTTGACGTATCCAGATTTAAGGAGTACTGGGAGGAGGTCCTCGATTAGTTGTGGAACAATATTTGATGGGTCCAGGTTGATGATATATTTGATGATGGCCATAAACATGGCTATAGGATCGTAGAAGGATTCTTTAAGTGCCCGGGACCATAGCGAAACTATGGCTTTTGCATATTCAACCGCGTAATTTTCAGAGGATTTCGCGGTTGTTGCCTCAAGAATAAATGACGAAAACATTCGCCCTGGGTCGGACGGAAAGGAGAGCTTGGTAAAAATCTCCAAGTCTCGTCCCTTACTTGGATAGGTCTTGTGATTCAAGATTCTCCGTATAAATCGCACATTACGGTCCTCTATGTTAGGCTTCCGTGGCCCAGGATCAACGGCCATAAGCTCTGCTGATTCACTAGAGTCACCCAAGTTGGTTTCAAACGACTGGCTCAACTCTAAAGTAGGAGCTTTGACAGGAGAGTCATCGATCGTTTTCCGTTTTCGCCCTCCAGACACTGAAGGGGTTCCTCGTTTTGACCTTCTGCCGACAGATTTTGTAGGAGAGAGCATGATTTCGTCATCATCAAACCCATCCCTGAGGGGGAGGACCTTTGTTTTCTTTGGCGTTAGCGGAGCGTTCTCCTCCAGTTTTGCTCTGGCCTTCCGCAGGTCATTCAGTTTTTGCGTTTCGTCCTTTAAGTCTTGTTTCAAAAAAGCGTTTTCAGTTGTCAGTAATTTGCTGTCCATCGTTGCAGCTTCGATCTCTGCCTGGTACTTCTTAAGTTCATCCGCCATTTGTGCCCGTAGTGTGCTCAACTGTCGGCTATGGGCCTTTTCCAATTTTGCTTGATTTGCACGAATTATTGCAATTTCTCCAGCCTTAGCTTCGGTCATGGATTTTGCAGCAGCCAATTCTTTTGCGATTCTCTCGCGGTCTCGAGTTAACTATTATCAGTCAGAAACTTTCAATACTTTATAAACAGCGA